AATGTTCATTTTGAGTTTTAAACAGATGAATAAGTTATGATGAAGTTTTTTCCCCTCATATATCGAATATTATAGATGATTAGAATAGAAGACGACCTAATTTTAGAACACACAGTTCAAGATAAATAGTGAAGCCGAGCATAAATATGATACGATTATTTATTCACGTAGAAGAGTGAACGTTTGCAACATATTGCCCTATTATGAAACAAATGTTTTTGTAGCTATATCGAAAAACTAGTAGATTTTAATTGTTCGAGTAAAGTTAAATTTCAAAGATGTGTACGTGTGATCATTTTCTAAAAACGTATCTGATCATTTATTTCCTACTATAGGTATTTTACTACTGTTAATAGGAATAAGATATTATATTATTCAGTTTCACGATGAAAACTACTATAATACTGCGAATTTTTAATGGTCTTACATAATATATTGCGAAATAAAAGGTTTCTATTCGTTATAAGGAAGATTAGTTTTCTGCTACATTAATTATGCAAGTCAAAAAATGATTTGATGCCCCTCGCTGATTATGTAATCATATCCTTAGTGTTTTGTGATCATTGACTAAAGCAAAAAAAGAAAATATTAGATTCTCATAGATACATTGGTATTAATTATATCATATATAATTCAAGAGAATAAGAAGTATTCTATTTGTTATCAACACATTTTAAGTACCATTAGTATAAAATTAAATCTTCTTTTATTTAATATCAGAATGAAACTTTTATTTTTCAATAAAACTTGATTTTTTTCTTCTACTAGATAATATTTGATAGTATTGATCAAGATTTTTGTACAAAATAAAAATAAATTTAATGGTGAAATCTTCTATTCCTTTCAGGTCTCTGAAGCTGAAGAATGTTATAAAACAGCCCTTAGTCAATGTTCAACACACGCTGATTCTCTTAATAATTTAGCGAATATTCGTCGTGAACAATGTCAAATAGATGAAGCAATTAATTTATATAAACGCGCATTAGATATTTTACCAAATTTTGCGGCTGCACATTCAAATCTAGCATCAGTATTACAACAACAAGGTCGATTACATGATGCATTAAATCATTATAAAGAAGCCATACGTATTCAACCAATGTTTGCTGATGCACATTCAAATCTAGGTAATACACTAAAGGAAATTGGTGATATACCAGGTGCATTACAATGTTATACACGTGCCATACAAATAAATCCATCATTTGCAGACGCACATTCAAATTTAGCTTCAATACATAAAGATACTGGTAATATTCTTGAAGCCATACAAGCATATAAAACAGCTTTAAAATTAAAGCCAGATTTTCCCGATGCTTTTTGTAATTTAGCTCATTGTTTACAGGTATGTGAGAGAATATGTTCTTAGAAAATCAAATATGAATTTTTCTGTTATTTTTTAAAGATTATTTGCGATTGGAACGATTATGATAGTCGTTTGAATAAGATATGTTCAATAATACAAGAACAACTTGAAAAAAATCGTTTACCAAGTGTACATCCACATCATAGTATGCTTTATCCGTTAACTGGTGAACAACGACGAAATATTGCTACTCGACATGCTCTTTTGTGTCTTGAACGAGTAAATATTATTTGGTTTTCACTGATACAAAGAATAGGAAGATATTCATTTTTTTTGTATTTTATTTCTAGATTCAATTATTACATAAAAAGTCATTTAATTATACACGAAATTTAACTACAACGAATAGTCGTCTACGTATAGGCTATGTTAGTTCAGATTTTTGTAATCATCCAACAGCACATTTAATGCAAAGTATACCTGGTTTGCATAATCGTGAGCGTGTAGAAATATTTTGTTATTCGTTAAGTGCCGATGATGGCACTGCATTTCGAGCGAAAATTCAACGTGAAGCCGAACATTTTGTTGATCTATCGTCAATTTCTTGTAATGGACAAGCGGTAAGAATATTGAATTGACGATAAAACGTTCGAAAGGAGAATAACTAAAAACGAGCGAACACTCGAGAATTCTCAATGCAATCATATTAACTGTTCACTCAGTTGAAATAGTTAATCATTCTATATTTTCACAAGAAAATTCTTTCCATTAGCACTTTTGATGAGATATTCTCGATTAAAGATTTGCAGAGCATGTTTTTAATCTTTACTAAATAATCCGTCAATATTGTTCATCTGACTAGATCAGGCAGTAAAATATGTCAAGTCATGTTGACTTCTTGTAGTTTACTCTGAACCTACGAATATTTATTAACATATGGTGCATGCACAATATTCGATCAAATCGGACCCTCGTAGAGTACAAAAGTTGACCATAACTAACACTGTATATTGATACCATTAGTAAATTATAAACAATTATTCATCTCATTATGTAGAACAGTTCACGGTTTACGTGAAAATAGAATATCACATCTATTGTAAAAAGCATACATCAAATGTTCAATTTTCGAAGCTTCATGCTAAATAATAATACCTTATACATATTCAGTTAAATTATAAAGATTTTTTTGTCGTTAGTAATATCTCTTACTTCATGCAAATTTTCTCAAAATAAACACCTTTTTATTTCTATTGATTATTTAAAGTTTTACATCAGTTACTGTTGCCGTTATTTAATTGTTGAAATTATAGTTATATCTATTAAATTTTGACGTGGACATTAGTTTAAGTCAACTAATGTTGTTTTACTCTTTTTATAATCAACTTTTCGTATTTTCATGATAAATTAGTAAAAATTTGTATTCATCTTTCCAATCAAGTTTACACGCATTCCCAGTAAACAAGTATTTGTAATCTTAAAACTTATTGTCGATTGACTAAATCATATTGTAAATAGTTTCACAATGAAAATATCATCGTTTATATATTCATTTACTTAAAATCTATTTCATTTGATTAGGCTGATTGTATTTATTCCGATGGAATTCATATATTAGTAAATTTAAATGGTTATACACGTGGTGCTCGTAACGAAATCTTTGCTCTTCGGCCAGCACCAATACAAGTTATGTGGCTTGGATATCCAAATACATCTGGCGCACCATTTATGGATTATTTGATATCAGATGAGATAACGTCTCCACTAACATTGTCATCTCAATATTCAGAAAAACTTGCATATATGCCATATACATTTTTCATTGGAGATCATGCAAATATGTTTAGTCATATGACAGAAAAAGCAGTTATTGTTGAAAGTCAACAAGATAGTAACAGTAGTATAATAACAACAGTCGATAATCGATCTATTGTTAATGGTACAAATTTAAAGCCAATACTTGAAAGAAGTGATGTTAAGGTAAAGTTTTGTGTTAATAATTATTTAAAAACAAAAAGCATTATAAGAAGATAATCATTATTTTCTAGACAATAACAGTAAAAGTTTCAGCTGTCGATGATGACGATACTGGTGAAACAAATCCAAAAAAATGTAAAGAAGAAGTTATTACTTCATTGGTTGAATTACCGCAAGCAACAGTGGTTCATCAGTTGTTGCAACAAGGCCATAGCGAAGTTAGTATAAATGGTATTGTTGCACAAAATGGTACAACAACATTACAAGTATTTGAAAAGAGTTTCTTTTCTGTAAAGATAGGCAATTTTCCTGTTTTTGTTTTAATGAATAGACAAGTTGCCGCGCAGCAACAGGTGAAGAAGTTCCTCAAACAGTTTTATTAACAACACGAGCACAGTATGGTCTACCAGAAACTGCCATTGTCTATTGTAATTTTAATCAATTATATAAAGTTGATCCAACAACAATGCGTTGCTGGTGCAATGTAAGTTATTTGAGCAGTCGGATTTTTTGTTGATGTATTTATATCTAGATTTTAAAACGTGTGCCAAATAGTGTACTTTGGCTTCTACGTTTTCCAGCAGCAGGCGAAGAGAATATAATACAAGCAGCAAAATCATATGGAATTGATTCAACAAGATTAATTTTTTCTAATGTTGCACCAAAAGAAGAGCATGTTCGACGTGGCCAACTATCAGATATTTGTCTTGATACACCGTTATGTAATGGTCATACGACTGGCATGGATGTGCTGTGGGCTGGTTAGTTTATTTCCTTCATTTTTTGGTTTTTGTTTTGCAATTTCAATCTAATCAAATGTTTGCTTCTTATTATAGGTACTCCTATGGTATCACTTCCTCTTGAAACATTAGCATCACGTGTTGGCGCATCATTATTACATACTATTGGTTGTCCTGAATTAGTTGCTGAAACCTATGACGATTATGAAAATATAGCTGTTCGTCTAGGCAATGATCCGGTCTATTTAAAATCTATTCGAGCTAAAGTTTGGTCACGTCGTTTAACAAGTCCGTTATTCAATACAGCATTATATACACAATATTTAGAAGAGCTTTTTATAAAAATGTGGGACAGATATAAAAATAATTTATTACCAGATCATATCAGAGCAACAACAGCATTAAATTAAACAGTTTTGGATTGTCTTTTCTTTTTGCAACTTCTTCTTTGGAAACAGGAAACTATTTTTTTGATCTTCTTCTTCTTTTTTTTGTCTCATATTGAGATGTTGTTCATGTTCTTCTTTTCTTTTTTTTTATTCTTGATATTCATGAAAAAAGGCAGAAATAAAAAGAAACGATTTTCTTTTATATGGCATATAACTATCTTTGTTCATTTAGTAGTTTATTTTGTTTGTCTAATAGTTCGGATGTATGAAATGTGTGCTTGTAGCCTATTTGTTTGTTTGCATCAGGTGATGGGGTGTCCGTACAGTGTATAGTAGCTTGACGCTGCTTTTTTCTGCTACTCCGACCAGAAAAAAAACAGGAAAGCAAAATAAAGTGAAGGAAGAAATAAGGCATCAGGTGATCATCGCACCTTTTCTTGAATAAAAATATTTATTACTTGTTCTGTTCCTACTTTTAACCGATTGGAACAAAATAAAGTGCTCTTTTTCTTTTATTCTTGCAGCAAAACCTCATGATAAAGTTGTGTGAATTTTTTGTTTTTCAGATGCAAAAATTTACAACGCACGATGACCGACAAAATAAGTAAATATTTTCTCCACTGATATGTGATTCTTTCTTTTAATACGGCAATATTGAAAACTCTTGATTAGACTATACAAATAATATACAAGTAACGATCACAACGACAATATCGAGCGTTTCGTTGCACTCTGTGCATTCAAGACAATTTATTTTTGGAATTTCGTTAGCATTGTTATCAAGTTTATTTATTGGCTCAAGTTTTATTTTAAAAAAAAAAGGTTTACTTAATTTAACTAATTCTAATGGATCTATTAGAGCAGGTTTGTGAATCGAATTAATTCATATTTTGTTTTTGAAAATTTAACAATCTGAATAGGATCAGGTGGTTTTGGATATCTATATGAAATTCAATGGTGGGCTGGATTGGCAACTATGGGGCTTGGAGAATTATGCAATTTTGCAGCCTATGGATTTGCTCCAGCATCGGTTGTTACGCCACTTGGTGCATTGTCAGTTTTAGTCAGGTACATATTGCATATAGAATGTCACAAAACTTGAATATTTCTTATATTATTCAAATAATCTATTTGCTTGTTTCATAAAATATTAATGTATTCTCTGAAGTAGTGTGTCGTTTATTTTCATGAGAGTACTTTTCATGACTTTAGAAATCATTTTTGAATTCAAATTCTATATATGAGATAGATATCAAACAAATGCGAAAGATTTTAAAACGAAATAAGAGGTATTAGATCTTCTCTATCAACTTAAACTCATTTTACTAAAACATTATCATATACTATAGCTATAGTATGCATGTAGAAAAGTATCAAGTGTAGACATTTTGATCCGTTTCTCCATGTCGTGCGCTAACTTAATTAAAAGCATGATAGAATATCTTTAACTTCGAAGGAAAAACCTGAAACTATTACATATTTTGGAATTTAATTCATCACGAGTTTTGCCATTAAATAACAAGTTTGAAAGACTATTTTGTTAGATAATCGTCTTTGTCTATGTAGGTTTGAGAAACAAAATAGCTTGATTAATGAACAAATATAAATCAATTACGATTATAAAGCAAAGACTCAAGGTCAAGTTTAGTAAAATCAGATAAAATGATAACGCCATACGAGAGTGTTTTTCAACACGTTGACTAGACTGTGTTATACTTGAAGATCTGCAAATATTCGGAGAGATTAAAAAGTAAAGACTCAAAGATGTTTCATGGCGTCTGTTAGAATGAACTACAATCAAGTATTCAAGTTATTGCAAAGGCGTACTCCAAGCCAAGAATAACAGTACACTAACTAATGACTGTAGATTTCTCATTGGCAAAGTAAAAACTACTCTTTTTTTCTCTCGATGGAATCGATCATCAAGAAAGCTCGCACAATTTATTGTGATTCATTTTCGAAACAATATGAATCTTTCCAATGTTTTTTTTCTATAAACTTGAATGATTTTTCAGAGCATTTTCGACCATATACTGTACTAGAGTTTAATAAAAGAGTTGAACGAAATTTCAAATACAACTTTCAGTTTTAACTTGGTTTTGATAAATTTTATTTGAAATTTTCATTGTATGACATTCATTGAATTCTATTGAACTATGAATAAAATTATTTCGCTGTAATTTTTATAGAAGTATATATCCGAAAATATGTCTGAAGAAGTGTCAAGAACATGCTAACATATGAAAAAAATAATGATTCGAATGATATGAAGATATAATTAGGTTAATTTTTTCGACGAAATTTTGAGCTAGCCTTCACTCTATCGGTTTAGTTCATTTTTGTACTTTTCTATACTAGTGCTCTGATGGCCGTTCGTTTTTTGGGTGAAAAGTTAGATACTCTTGGTAAAATTGGTTGTATTCTTACGCTATTCGGTTCCATTGTTATTATAATACATGCACCGAAAGAAAGTGAAATTAATTCATTGCTTGATTTTGCTCGTAAAGTATCAGCAATAGGTAAGAAAATATTGAAATATGTAGCTGTAAATGAATTTATTGAGATTTACTTTAGAATTTATTTTATTTTCATTCATGACATGTATTGCAATTTCATGTTTAATTATATATTATGGGCCCCGTTTAGGTTCAAAATATGTTCATATATATGTGTTAATTTGTTCTCTTTTGGGTGCTTTTACTGTCACAGCATGTAAAGGCCTTGGTGCTGGTTTAAAAGAATTTTTTGCTCATGAATATTCATATTCAATATGGTTAACAGTTGCATGTGCCACCATCATTATAGTTTGCATTCTTATACAAATGGTTTATCTTAATAGAGCATTAGATATATTCGCAACACCGATTGTAACAACTGTTTATTATGTTTTATTTACAACCTGTGTACTGATTACATCAGGTATACTTTTTCATGAGTGGCGTTTATTAACGTTCGTTGATGTTATGGGATGTCTTGTTGGATTTTCTATAACAACATGTGGCTTAATTTTAATTAACTATTTAAAAACCAATGCACCCTCAAATGAAATACAATCGAAAGATCGAATTGGTACGACAAATTCGAAAGTATCCTATTATCAATGTTTCTGTTCATTTTATTTTTCTTCATTTAGATAATTCTCTTTTTTCAGATCTGCTCTCGGATTCTCAACTGTCGTTAACAGAATCGTCTGGTTCAACATCAATAGTTTCTGTCAAACAGCAACACTATGCACCAGTCAAAACTTACGCTAATCTTCGGTATAATGATAGTAATGTGTCATTCACAACGAACAATATAAATGAACAATGTCGACCATTGTTATTGGTAGATGAGTGTAATTTTAATTTTTAGTAGACTTGTTATTATTGTTATCGCTACAATAAGCATTCCATGAAATAAAGTTTTTTTTTGTTGCTTTTTAATTAACGATATTTTTATGATCTCATGATTGGATATTATTTATATTTGAAATCAATAATTTGATTTTCTTCCTTAAACTTTTCTTTGTTATGTTACATAATCATATATACACATATAGTTATATGCGTGTGTGTGCATACGCATATTTGACGATTACAATGCTGATGAATGACCTTTAGTTAGTATTAGCACAATCATCAGCATTGTCGTCGTCTGTAAAGGTTTATGCAAGTTGATGCATATTTTTTCTCTCATGCAAATCATGTGTTACTTTTTCTTTTTTTTCTTTCATCATTTCTTTTTTATAATAAATATACACATTCGTATAACAAAAATATTACCAATACGATTTTCTATTTTATGGTTTAATGTCCTATCGAATTGGACTCTCTATACTAGATTTCTATAGGGAGTCAAAAGAATTTCTTTTTTTTTCCATTGCTTTCATTAATCGAATCAGTTGGGAATATATATATTTCTATGTGATCAATCAATGATCGATAAGGTAAGAGAGAAAAAAGCGCTATTTTTAGAACTTGGCCTTCTCATGATAGTTAGCTATTGAAACTGTGAAAAAGAAACGCCGATAAGATTTTATGTGTGCATATGTCTAATTGAAGAATAATAGAAACATCGATGTATGCATGCACTCGATTTTAGACGGGTTTAATGATGCACGCGTGGCATCACAATAAGCATTATGTCATCCTATCATACGTGCATCTCCATAAGTTCTAAACAGTCGCGATTGTCGTTGAATTCATGGGTTTTATTTATATGTTGAAATTTTCATTGAACTTTTGATGACATAAAGGAAATGTCGTTAGTACAAATAATCATTTCATTTCAATTCAATGACACTGTTTTCAATTAGAGAATAGCTATTCAAACTATGAAAGATATATACACATATGGTACTCATCTTTTTTTTCTTTATAGTAATGACATACATTTTCTAGAAAAAAAAGTTAGAACAATGAAGAAAAAAAGCTATAAAGAATAATGTCATTGCCAAACTCCATTTGACTGAGCAAGTAACTGTAAGTTGAAGGTTAATATGATATAACGCCTTTCTTCATATGTAGATATGAAAATAAACAAGGCCAGCAACTACTGCGACCTCCGGCCAACAGAAAAAGACAGGTGGAGTTATGTGTATACAAGTTATGCAATAGGATTCTACAGATAATTGCTCGACAAAAAAACGATCGATGTCGATCAATCATCATGAGTATTATTACGCTTTAAGCATAATAGAACAGTAACAGCCTTGGTGTGAATATTAAGCGCATCATTTTTCTTTATTTTACATAGTCTTCTATCATATGGACAGCATATTTGTATGAATTTTTATCAACAATAACAAAGCAATAAAAATTGCCTGTTCCCAATGATTACGCGAACATATATGAAATTAAGAATGCTAATTTATCAAGGATAATATAGAGTTGATTGAATGCAAAAGTATTATAAATACAGAATAAATGAAAGCTTGTATCTCGAATTATTTGTTCTTCTGAATGATTGTCGCTTGAAAATAGTTTTTCTATTTTTTATTAATTTGTTGAAAGGCTTTATTTTGAGTTCTTTCTAATTATCTTGTCAATCAATCATAGTTCGGTCAAGGTCTTCACATTAAAATAATATAAGTAGAAACAACAACATTAGTAATTAACGGTGTTTTGAATGTTTTATCGTGTCTCATTTTCTTTATTCACCATGGATATTTTAAACTTCAACTTTCATCTCATCAAATCTATAAAGGCGACCATCAAACATTGACACATCTATTGCATCGTTGTCAACATCATTGTGAAAGGTCTCGTTTGGTTGATTAACTTTACTTTATTGTATTGTTAGGTGGGTGGTGATAGTCTACACCCTACTGTTCAAACATTCCTTTCAGCCAACAGTAGTCACCACCAAAAAAAAATTGTAGTAACAATGAAGAAGAACATTGATGCAACTGTGTTGATCCTCTACTTCTTTTTCTCCTCTTGTGCTCGTTCTCTTTGTCTCTCTTTTTTTCTCTGAACCTCATCGTATAGAATATATCGTGTTTGCTATCTATCGCGAAATGATGTACCATCTTTTTCTCATCGTTCAAGCGTCGAATAAATGTACGCAAGGTTAAGTATGAATGTAAGAAAGAGAAGGAGCAAAATAGATTGACTCTCTTGAATACATGTACAGACGGTCAGGATGTTGACTATTTTTGGAACCGTAAGTGTCTTTTGTTATGTATAAGTATAAGATATAGGTTTACTCCAGAAGAAAACCACATATTGCATCGCACAACGAGCATAAATTAATATTTGTTCGCATTACTATCATCACTATCATTCTGTTCTAAAAGCATTGATTACCAAGTCTTTTGGAGATAACAAATATATAACACATGTATCTAGCAGCACATTAATACAATCATCATGTGGCTCAACTAAGAAAAATATTGTTGAAAATGCAAAAATATTCTTCATGATCTATTCATTTTAAATAATTTCAAATTACGATTGATGATGGCAGTAGCATCAAAAAGAATTTCTTCCTTTTTCTTTCTTCTTTACTTGACTATGTCGTGTAGGCTTCTGGTTACATGCCCCGTAATCAAAAGATTTTTGATGAATCTATTTTTTTTCATTTTACTTCTTTGCTCATGCACAGATGAGATGTGATGTGTAATTGATACCTCGAATTTCGCAACATATAGTAAACAAAGTAGTTTATGCTATTATTTGATATGAAGCCAGAATCCGTTCGCTCTCTTTGCTCGCACACGAAAAAGGACAATATCATAGAAGCCTTAAACAATCAAAAGAATGTTGTTCTGAAAGTGAACAGCACACATACTTACGCCAATATGGAGAGAAGATTATGACATCAGAGCGAGCGTTATGTGAGTACAGCCAGATGGTTTGCACTTGAGCTAACTTTTTGATGAAATTTGCACATTCGCATGTAGTGCCCTGAGTTTCGATTAAGAATGTATGTGCTAATGCGACTCTTGAGAATGAATTAAACGATAGTTGTGTCAAAATATTCATACTAACTCAGAGACCAAAAACATTCTTTTTCTTTTTTTTTAATATTCTGTGCAATCTTACACTTGACGTACCATTATTCACCGTCGGCTATTTATCTTTGAAGATTAGAAGAACAAGATGAGATTTTTTACGTTCGAGAATTGAAAGATTAATCATTTTGAAATATATATATATATATATATATATATATGTGTGGGTGTGGGTGTGGGTGTGTGCAGATTGTATATCGTACGAGCGAATGATGCAAAAAATAAATTATTCATCAAAGAAAAAAGGAGAACTTCTTTTAAAACAAATTGAAATATCTTTCTGTACGATCAGCGTCGAATAACTATTCTCCTTGACCTGACTATTGATTCCATCTTTTCTAGAGATCAATGTCTTCTCTGTTCTTATAGCTTTATATCAGTTATACGGAGTAAGAAAATGAGAAGAATAATGATGACAACATCTTGCCTTTTTCTTTCCTTCTTTCTCTCTTTCTATTCATGTTTAGTGACTATTAGGCAATTTTCTTTTCTTGTTTTGTTATTCCGTTACTATACGATCCCACGTTCATTTATCATCATATCATGTTCTTAATATTGATGATCTCTATCGAAGATTAATTAGTAACTGACCGCACGTACTCACACGCACACGACAATTGAACATGCGATCGTTGATGGAAGAACGATAGATTATCAATCATTACGATCGATTTTTGATTTGGGAAGCTGTCCAATATTCATGTTCTCTTCCTGCTGTTTTTTTGTCGATCGGAACGAGAAAAAAAGACTCAACTAACAGAGAAGAAGAAAAAGGCCGATTTTTTACGCAATAACAGTTACTTCCTCTTTTTCTGTTTCCTTATATTCTTTTCTTTTTAGTCTCTTACACTATGTTCGTCGGCTAGCTTGCATGCTTAAATCATGATTGAAGTCTTGCACGCGTACAGCGAAATTCAATCCATACAGCCTAGTGAGTGTATCCAGAAAAGAGGGTAGCGTCTATTTCCGCGTATGTTGATTTTCTTTTTTTCCCTCTCGTTTCCTAATACATAACAGTCTATGTGTAAGAACATGGAATCCAGAAGGGGAATAGAGAAAAAATAACAATACTTGGGTTTATGATAAAATTTGATCTTAACAAATATAAATAGTTAATGATGCTGAAATTAGCCTTCGGAACTAGCCTCTTTTATTTCTCACACGGCAAACACATTTTTCCAGTCAATATGCACTTCTGTATTTTTTTTTCTTCTTCTTCTTCTTCTTCTTTTTAATCCTTGTTCGGAGTGCACTACATCGTGCAGCATGTTATCTTTATCGATCAATAGTCCTTCGAACAAGTCTCGAATGCTTGCATAAAAAAAACATTTGCATCACAGATGTGCCTGGAGTAGAGATCGACAAAAAGGAAGGTAATCAAGAAAAAGGAAGGCAATCAAGAAAAATACTGGCAAAAGAGTAAAAAGAATTTCAAGCGACAAAAAAAAATACTGCAAAAGAAAAAGTAGACTAGAAGAGAGCACAACAGAATTTTTTTGTTCTTTTACAAAGAAATACACTTTTCTTTTAGAAAAGCGAGCGGAGACTAGTATTCTCTTGGAATGATTAGCTTTACTCTTCTATTTGGAGAAATTTACTTTGCATGTCATTTTTATCAAATGGAATTTTTTCTTTTTTTTTTATTATAAAACTTCAAAAGAACGTGAGTAGAATAACACAGTAAGAGCAAAATAATCGTTTTTTCTATATCGTACTTAGCGTCGTATACACCTAATTTTCCGCTCATTTTAAAATGAAATTTTGTTACAACCGATGTCGTTATTTACATGCGGAGACGCACTAAATGCTGCTAATAGATGAAATAAATCGCTAAAGCCTTTTCGTCTTCTTTTTCTTC